TCGAAAAAAATAGATAATTTTTTTATTTTTTCTTCAAATTTATGTAATAGAGCATTTATGATTATGTTTGTACGCCACATAAGGGGGTTTTTTTTAAAAAAAAAAAAAATTTATCTGAGCAATAAAATTTTCACCGATTATGAAATAGCATACGTTACTTTTAAATTTGTAAATGATATGTCATTTTCGAAGCGACGGAAATTGAAAAATGACGAAGAACAGGGATACTATTCCAGGGGTACTATATGCAGCGCTATACGGTAGTAAGTGGTAATTCAAATATGTCTAAGTTCTTTATTTAATGCAATAACATGTTCAATAGATAATAATCGAATTTTTTAATTGATTTAATTTGTTTTAAAATATGTATTTAGCTTTTCAGTTAAAATAAGTAAAAATCTTTATCATGCTAATATGCTTGCTCCTTTAATTATTGCAGTAATAAATTATTACAATTTGAAAATTGGGGGGTTTTTTTTTGATATAATAACTTGTTCTACTATAGAGATAGTTGACCCTAGAAAAGAGGATTATATGCCTAAAGTAAAAGCTTTCTTTCTTACGCAAAGTATGAATTCGCAGTTAGCATAATATACAGTATCATTCATATACAGTGTTGAATATATTTTTTGGTCAGCCAATAGACAAAACAGCCAAACATTTTGTTTGGGCCAATAAAATTAACATTGTTCATATAAAAAAAAAAAAAAAAACATGTTCATATATGCCTTTTACTGAATTTTAATCATGCTCCATACTTGAATGTAATCTCTTATGATATCACTACTTATAATTTAGTTCATAAATATTTGTCTAAGAGATTTACATTACAGTCAAAACTTACAGGAATTTTCTCCTTTCGTTTTGAATAATTTCGAATCAATTTTGTTTACAAATATAAGCACCTACAATATTCTTAGGGTATTCCAATCCATGTAACTAGTGCACGCTTCTCCATATCGACATTGACGTTATAATTATAATTACAATTTCTATGTTTCCGAATTAAATTATAAACTGAGTTAAATGACTTTATAAATTGTTTCTATATTGCCTACAGAATATTTTAAAAATTTTCTAATCGTTTAACCGTTTAATCGTGTTGATCACTTAATTTAGTCAGCATTAAAATAATTATAGTCTATGACTAACAACAATTTTTAGCGGTTAAACGGTAACTAGTAATCAGAAAAAGATTGATAAATAAAGTAGATCTGACCGGAATTAACACATGAGAGTTCTAATTTTAGAGGCTTAATTTCAGTCATGTGTTACTTCAGATATCTAAAGCGCTACTTCAGTTAGGTACGTACGTACGTACGTACGTAGCTATTCAAGCTGTAACGGGATCACCAAGTATGGCAGTGTTAAAAATTACTACAAAATTTAATGACTACATGCGTACGTATTGATATGTCTAATAAATTAATTTATTAAAGGTGATCTGACGTAGAGTTAAATGAATAGAACATTCATCGTAATCTAATTCAAAATGGATAAATTTAAGTTCTTTTGAAGAACATTATTCATGAATAGTCAGTAGATTAGACATTTCTCAAAGTTTTTTAATAAAAATGGTTGATCAAAGACCTATTATTCTTTGGGCCCATGCGAGGTCTCTTTCTACAGTCTTTGAAAGACCGTTTCTTCAACGTCCTCAAGAGTTCCATGTTATTCATGAACCATTTGTTCCAATCGGTCATGCGTACATGACCAATAACCAAGAATTTTTAAATAAAATTCCAAAACCAAAACCTACCGATCCGATTACTTTTGTGCACCACTTTTCACCTTTTCTTAATGAAATTCTTGCTCCTCATTATTATAACGAAGACAAAACACACATCTTAAGGGTTTTTATGAAAGATCTTGCAACTATCTTTTTACACGCATCAGAAGGAAATCCGTTACGATCCAAGGAAATTCTCTCAAAATTTAAACATACTTTCTTAATTAGAAACCCAGAAAAATCAGTAAAATCTTACTATAAGGCTGCAATTTCTATATATGGGGTTGAGTCAATAGAAATCAAGCAAATTTTTTCTAAGTAAATTTTTTTAAAACTTTAAACAATAATAAC